AGAGAGTGAAACATATAAATTTGGAGTGACAAAAGTTCTGGGATTTTGTCGGTAGTAGTCGGAGACGACGAGGGTGACGAGGATGATGATAAATTACGTTTAGACCGATTATGATTACGAGACATTGTGTTTAATGAGCACAGATATCTATATTATACTAGATGACAAACTCTCAATATCACTTGAAGCACGCATTGATTATGTTATCATTTGTCCGCCATGTTTTGGGTTGGCAAAATATTGTATCAACACTATTCCCCACACATCACAATATTAATTATAACGGACTGTGAACCTTAACATTCCTTTTTCTGCACTTATTATTTATTTGGTATCATTTATTATTTTGTTTTGTACACTATTTAGTTACTAATATTAAATAAATATGCCTGTATCTTGCGTTGCGTACGGATGTTCAAACCGTTATAAAAGCAATTCCTTAATTCACTTTTTTCGGTACGTATGAAATGTAGATTGTTGCGGACATACATAAATGTAGGTCCTTACGACTCTTACAATATGGGCGAGACCACATAAATCGAGATCGGGAAATGATTATGAATAATAAAGTATTCGCAATAATAAAAAGAAACTATTAATTTAATTAGAGGGTAATACGATGTTTCGGACATACATAAAAGTAGGTCCTTACAATTACCAATAAATGATTATCATCGGTGAACAATGTAGAAAGGAATAATTAAAACCCGAAGGCATCATCGAACATAGCTAAATTTTTTAATACTGCAATTAGTAAAAACGCATATGAGAGATGCGCGAATAGTAATATTAACAAGGTCACTAAGGTAATAAATCTTATATTTGTAACAATCGAAAATAACTTTCGCACAGCGCGGCACGTTTGATCCCCACGGGACCTAAGTATATAAGGGGGTTGGGAATAGACCAATATTCAGATGTGGTTTACATGTACAGTCGCAAGCACCTTCACGCCAGATCATTTCTTAATTAATGTTTTTGTACTTAGAAAAATTCTTAAAATAAACAGTTAAATTATATTTGAGTATTTTTATTTGAAGTATTATCCTAAAAACTTAACCATCGTTACGATTGGACGACGGCACGCAACAAGATAATATGATTTAAAAACACATAAAAACTTACATTTTTATTTGTAACGTATACATATTTATAGTTTTCCTTTAAACAATGAGGTAACAACTAAACTGTGGACGGATGCAATTAAAAGGAAAAACTTTATACCAAATCAATGGAGCCGTATTTGTAGCGTGCACTTCACTGATAATGACTACCAAATTCGTCCTGGTGCTAACAGACCAATATTAAAAGTAAATGCCGTCCCTTCAGTTTTTCCATCGTTTCCAGTATATTATCAACATAAACCTAAGAAACTTAGAAACCCACCTAAAAATAGGGATTTGCCCTCTTTTAAAGGTAAAACTAATTAATAACTTTAATTGTTAAAGACAGTTATTATAGCCAATTAAAAATGTGTTTATATTATAGATGAGCCTAGTACTAGTACTGATCCAAAAATTAGTAATGAGAATACTGATTTAGAATTAATTGACGATCACAGTATTTTACTTAAAAGTGTTGATAGAGAAGTACAAACATCTCATTCTTCTTGTAATGAACTTTTATTGAAACATGAAATTAAAATATTACGTCAAAAGTTACGGCGAAAAGAAAAAAAAATAACCAGTTTGGATAATTTACTAAAAGAATTAAATAATAAAGGATATATTGATTCTGAACAACAACATTTAATGTTAAGCAACTTTAATTGTAAGTTTTAATTTTATTGGTTTTTGTATACCTAGCTTAAAACTTACAAGTATTTTTAATATGGTAGGTTCATTTAGAGACTTATTTATAAATGAAACCAAAAACTGTGATAAATCTACTGGCAAGAGATATACCAAAGAAATAAAACAATTGGCTTTAACATTGCACTTTTATTCTCCTAAAGCGTACAATTTTTGTCGGTAACTACATTTTTCTTAGAAACAATTTTTTTTATATAAAAAGGGATATTTAATATTAATCAAGTATTTTTTATGTCTAACATTAATGATTTTTAACATTTTTCATAGATCAAATTAAGTTTACCTCATCCATCATCATTAACTAATTGGACATCATCTGTTAATGCAGATCCTGGATTTTTCCGAGAAGTTTTTATGTTTATTAAAAAACATATTCCTTCTGAAGATCTTGACTGTAATTTGGTGTTTGATGCGATGGCCATACATAAGAAACTTATTTATGATGCTAGTAAAGATAGGTTCTTAGGTTATTGTGATTTTGGTAATATTCAAGTAGAAGCACAAGAAACGTTAGTCACTGAAGCACTTGTGTTTATGTTAGTATGTTTAAATCAATATATATAGTACAATTTTAAATTAATATTCTCAATTTTGTAATGAAATTGAATTTTTATTAAACGTAATGAAAAATGTTTAATTTAATAATTCAGTGTGTTCAACTATTTTATATAGTGTAAAATAATATTGTTTTGCCAACCGAAAACATGGCGGACGTGTGATAATACTGCGCCGCCGGGCTTCACTTCTCTCAATGGAAAACATCGGTAGTTCGTTATCTAGTATAATATAGATATCTGTGTTAATGAGCAATCACGATTTATCTATATAGATAAAAGCAACATGGTTGTTGTGATAGCGCTAACAAGCGTAACGCGTGTGTTCGATGCGACGGTCGACACTGGACTGAAATCAGAATTCAGAAGAACTATTTCCAATTGTTAGCATCGCTTTAAGAATATACTTCTGTTTGGCGGTTACTAATTGTTCGGTAGAAAGATCGTTTTTGTGTCTCAAAAGAACTAAAACTTATTTAAAATCTACTATTGGCGAAAATCGGTTAAATAGTTTGCTCTTCTGTGCATTGTACCGGAATTAGAATCGACAATTGACTTTCAAGACCTAATCAATACATTCGCTAACCTCAAAATACAAACGAAAATGATTTAATATTTGACTATTGTATTAAATTTAAAATGATAAAGAATAATTTAATTAACAATATATTTCTATATGTATTTTGTTTTAAAAAAAAGTTTAAAATGAAATGGCGGCAAATGTCCAGCTTATAAGCGGCAAATTGCTTAATCCGCCACTGATTTATATACATTAAAAAAAAAAAAATTACCACATGTACGCAAAATAAAACGTGTCCATCGGATGTAAATGTATCATTCAACTTCGAAACAAAACTTTATAGTCGGCTACTCGTAAACTGTTGTACTTTCGGCATTACAAAATAAAAAATATTTCCTATTGTTCATCGACTTTTAAAAATATTGATTACTTTACCAGTATCCACTGCAAACAGTGAAAGATCTTTTTCCTCTTTACGGCGCTTAAAAACATATTTGAGAAACACAACTGGTGAAAATTGGTTGAACGGCTTAACAGTTATGAATATTCATCGGGATTTAGTCGTAACCACCGACGAAAAAATAGATACTCTAGCTTTAAAAAGTAGACGCATTAAGTTAATTTAATTAAATATTTTTTTATTTTTTTATTTTTGTTTTAATTATAATAATATATATGTGAAAAAATTAAATATACGTAAAGTAATCAATTTCGTGTGTATGATTTTGTCAATTAATTTTGAATAACACCCCCCCTTAGAAATTTCTAGCGCCTGCTGTAGATAGTAGTAGATAGACAAATCATTTTATTCATGAGCATTGTAAGGGCAGTTCGATGCGGTGGTTGTGCACTACCTAAATTCAAAAAAAAATGTATAATAACTTTATTTGAATTAATTAATTAATTAATTATGAACTCATTGTGAACAATAATTAAAGTAATCTAAGGTTTTGAAACCATTTTTTTTATTGTTTACTGCATTATAATTTGTGTTTGAATAACTACGTCGTTTATGTACACACAATTATAATGTAAACTAATCTTTAAAACTTACTTTATAATTTTTTAAATGGGAACGTGGGGCAAAATAGGGAATAAGAATAAATTGATTATTTTAAATTATATTTTTCTAAAATTACAGTCAAATATATGGGGCACAATGTGGTACTCTTTATAAAATTAATAAAATGTTGACAAAAATATGTCAAAACAAGATTATTTTCATTTATTATTTATTTTATTAATCTAAGTTTTCTTATGTTATATTTACAAATAATTTTATGAATAGTACATAAAAGAAAAAATAATGAACAAAATGCACACACAAATATAGTCTTCATTTTCATCAATACTAGCACAAAAATGATGAGCCCATCTCTTACAGATTGTGCATTTAATCCAGCCATCAATAGACTTTCAATATTGTTCGTCACAATATAAACAAATATTTTTTTTTGTATGTGACACTATTGTGAATTATGTATGCGGTATGTCATGTATAACATGGAATATTTATGAGGGAACTAAATCATGGTCCGGAAGCTAAGCCCCCTCCACAGTTGTGCCTATGTGTTTAAGTGATCTTTTAACTTAAATATTAGAAGTGTTGTTGCTTAATGATAAAACTAAAAGTTCATTTTTATACGGCGATTCAGTTAGAACTCCTATCTTGCCACATCTTCTAGAATTTCTTTCAGTTGTCTTATTACTTTTTGAAATTGGCAATACATTTTCTGGTGAAAAAACTATGTTAGTAATACTGAGAAATGATCAGAATTTAAATTTAGAATATTATCTGTAGTATAGTGGATGTTGTATTGGATTTTGGTGATGAATATATCTGGAATACCAGAATTTTTTGCGAGCTGAGATCGGTCAATATGTTAGACCTGGTGGGACATGAACTTAAAGATTTTCTTTAGATATCAAATTGTGAAGGATATAATTAAAAATAAATAAATTATTATATTATATTATATTGGTTTAAATCACTCAGCTGTTTAAGTACAAAAATAATCAATAATAATAAAATATAAATTAATCTAAAAAATAATAAAATATTTTTGATCAAGAAAATATCTTTAATGTTAATTAATATAAACAGATATTATTAACACTAACAATTGAATAAGTATTTTACAATAAAACTTGTGTGATTATAAATATAAGTCTCTTCATCAGATATTATTTTCTGAACTATTTAATAGTGTTTCCCATGGATCTTCCAACATTGATGGGTGAAAATAACTTTCATTGTTGTTTTCATTACTATACTGATTTGAATAATTCTAAAATAATATGATATATTTTATTAAATTCGGTGCTATGTTCTTAAAAATATTAATTTTAAGTAGTGTAAGTTGATATCAATTAAATATGACAAAGAATTCTAAATTCTTCTAAATGTTTAATCACATTATAGGTTTATTGGTAATATATAATTATTATAGAGCATATTTAACTATTTTCTTACACTTAAAATGTCATTAAAATAATATTTTCATATCAAAACGATGAAACAAAAATTGTATGTTATTTTATCAATATATTTTTATAATTTGATTACTATAATTCAGAATACTGTATAAATTATTTTTTTTACTGTGTAGAGAAATTAATTTGTATAGACACAATAATAACAGTTTTTTTTTAACATTATAGAATTTAATTGATGTTAAAAAAGATAAATTCAGTTATACGTATCAAATTTATATACTAATATATATTTAAGAAGCATTTTATAATTTATGGCTTATGAAATATATATAATAAATCTACATACACTCGTCATTTGAATCAAATAAGATTTTGGTAGCTTCACTATATATTTTTTTGAAATGTTAAAATAATAATGATTAAAAAAAAATATGTTCATACTTACAAAGCACAAGTTAAATGTTTCAATAAAAATATTATTAATAGGTAAATTTTAATATTTTATAACAGAAGAACTTACATTTAAGTTTTGTTTTTTATATTTTTTGAATTCTGGTCTAGGTGATGAATAACTATTTTGTTCTTGTGATGTATATCTACCTGAACTGTTAGGCTAAAACAAAAAATATTAAGCAATTATCATGCATCTTAAAAATTAACTTAATTATCTAGTTAATTACGTTTGAATTCCAACTGTTATTCATTCGGTTTGGAGGAGTCCATTGGTATGGTGAACCTGAAGGACATGGGCCACTGAACCTTGGTGAACCTGTAAAACGTGGGCCACTGAATCTTGGTGAGCTACTACCACGTCCACGCCAATGTTGTGTAATAGGTGAAGAATGCTGTGGGTAATTGTCGTACACCAAAATATTGCTCAATTTGTTATCCATTAACTTCTTGTCAGCCAGTTGTGGATGTTTCTCAACATTTGGTGATGCATCATTTGAAGCAGCAGATGTGTTCCTTGATTTTATTAGAGGTGATTTATACTTTAAACTCATTTCAAATACAAAAGAACAGTCTTAAAATAAAATAAATTTATCTGTTTATAAATATTTTCATGAGACTAAAATGTAGAAAATGTGTACTAAGACATTTAATAATTATAGTAAATAATTTATTGAATACATTTAAACTGTTTTAGATTTAACTCATACTAGAAGTTCATTATGATATTATAATTGTTAGGTATTCTCCTATGACAGTTATATGTTAGGTAACTATGGTCCCATTTAACTGAGTCTGTTTATTCGCAGTCGATTAAACCAGGACGACCAAACTACGGCCCGCGGGCCAACTCCAGCCCAACATCATTTAACATTTGGCCCGCAAAAGTATGCTAAATTACAACAATTATTTGAGTAACTATAATATTTTACATTTACGTAAAAAAAAATTGAAAAATTAAAAAATTATATTTTTTTTATGTCCCGTGGTTAAGAAAGTTTTGTTTTCATGGCCAGAGGTAAAAAAATGTTTGGTCACCACTGGGTTAAACCATCACGTTATCATTTTGTTGTTTGTTGTTATCACCTAAAATGTATTATCAAAATATATAAATTTCAATTAGAGATTCTTGATTTCATGTTCACAAGTAAAATTAATAGTTCATATTTCAAAGTTTTAAACATCAACAAATTGTTAAATCTAAATAAATACTTATTTTGAAAATTTCCTTCCATTATTTTCACAATTAAACTTCATAGTCCGTAAATACACCGACTCGACTGCCAATAGACAGACCCGTCATATGTTTATATTATCAGAAAAAATGTATCAATTATCATATACGTCTGTAGCTTATTATTATTCTATAATATTAATGGGACGAGCGCTTCCCCGCAGTAAGGCATTTGTCTGACTAATCATAAAAGAACGTTATCATAGTTTTATGAATTCTTTACATTTGATGAATATAAATTATATTATGTCCTAATGTATATAGTAGGTAGGTAGTAGAGCAAATGAATAGTTGTAATGGAGACTGGAGTTATTAAATATAATTAGTTTATTACATATTAATTACTAGAAAAATGTAGTTACTTTTTTACAAGAATGGAATTAAAGGTCTTAACTCTTAATATAGTATATAACCTAATAATACCATATTTTATCATTTTGCTCTTCTCTTTGTAATTTTAGTTTTCTTTTGACACATCCACTGAGGAGTGCCATTTTAAAATTAATTTAAATATTTAATATATAAGAAAAAATGTATAAATACTATAAATTGTACAAATATTAACGCAGGTGACGTTAGCATGAGTGCAGCGTGCGCTGAATGTGAATGTAAGTGCCCAATCGGCGGAGACCATAATATAATTCTATGTTTCTATATGAATCAATATAATGACAATACCTTCACTCAAAGTATTTTAAAAATAGACATACAAGTATACAGTAGCCACTGTCTAGATATGATAAGAACAACTTGACATTGTAGGATAATACCGGTATTTAGCTATAAATAGCAATTATTTCTTAATCGATCGTTTAAATTTAGTTACAAGTTACATTACTTAGAATATAATTAAAACCCAATGTATTTGGTTTTATTTGCGTCATATTTAGACAATATTAAAAATTTGGTAAAAATTAAAAGCAATCATATAATGAGCCCCTCTCAATACTTTAGGTGGGCCGGACACATATTAGGGTGGACCAGACACACCCTGGCCCTCCTTTAGCCAAGTGCCTTCCTACCTACCATATACATTAGGACATAATGTAATTTATATTCATCAAATGTAAAGAATTTATAAAACTATACATTATAATATACCTAATAGTATATTAATATATACCTTTTAAATCAAAAGAGATCTTCTAGCTCCTACATTTTACATTTTACATTTACATTTTACAATTTGAAGTTATGATAACGTTCTTTTATGATAAGCCAGCCAAATGCCTTACTGCGGGAAAGCCCTCGTTTTATGGGCCCATTTAAAATAGATAACAATGTTGATAAAACATTAGTGATAGTAAAACAGAATATTTAGATAAATGATAAACATGAAAAATATTTTTGTATTACAACTTACCAGACGAAGTGAATAAATTCTTAAAAATTAATAGTATATGTTCTAAGATTTCTTAACAAAATGTTGTCATCACTTGTAAAAGAACATCAAGCAAAACAAGCTGTCCGCAAAGAGAGTCAAGGTATGAATTTTTTATTTCATTGTTGATGTGTACCTTAAACCTTAATATTTGTATTCACACCTTTAATATATTATCTTCACAGATATTAAAAGAAAAGAGGCGGTGGATGCTGCTAATGAACTGACAAATGCTTTAGTCGAACATCTTAACGTTGGGTAAGATTGTTATATTCTGTGGTGAGATGTATTTGGAATTTTTTTTGTTGTAGCTCTATAATAAAACATGTTTAAATTATAAAAAATCGTTGATTTTTATTAATTTACATACATGTAAATGGTAAATCATGATTTATCTAGACACTACAATTAAATTTTTAGTATATATTAATAATAATCTTCAATTTTTTTATTTGTAAGTGTAGATTTCAGTATTTTACTCAATTAGTAATAGTTGAAACCATACATTTTAGTTCATATTTCATTAGTAGTTAAAAGTTATGAATGAATTTTTTGTTGGGAATTTTATTTTTATTCGTTTTTTTTTTTTTTTTTAAATCCTTTGTAAACACGAACCAAAACTACTTTATCATTTAAAATCTTATACTGCTAAATTCATGCTTAATTCATTTTTTTAGTGTTGCACAAGCATACCTCAATCAAAAAAAATTAGATGCTGAAGCAAAACAATTACATCAGAGCGCAATTGTTTTTTCCAAACAAACCTCTCAATGGCTATCACTTATTGATAATTTTAATTGTGCACTTAAGGAATTGGGTGATGTTGAAAACTGGACACGTACCATTGAAAATGACATGCGTAACATAACCACTACTCTAGAATATGCCTATAAAGGTAGTAAATATAAAATAATTTTTATGTTACTTAACGATGTATATAGATACATTTCTTAAACTATTAAATATTTATTTTACTTTACAGTTACACAAAAATCATAACTACTACATTCCATTAAAAGGTACTTCTTACAAATTTATTTAATGTTAACTACTAACTTTTGTTAATAAATTTAACTATAAATGTACATGATTTTTTTTCAACACCTATTTTAATCTCTGTCCAATAAAATAATAAAACTATAGTATTTAAAACCATAAAAATAAAGTATTGATGCATTATGGCTGAATTTAAACTAACCTCTGTGTCAAAAATTATTTATTGATGAATTCACCGAAACTAATAATAAACCAATCTAAAGACTGTCTCCTTAGCATTATGTGCTTAAGAGGACGTCATACCTGCATGTGTTGTCCCCGTCTGACATACGTACAACATAGTTCAGTAATTCAAATGTAGTGATATTAGCTTTAATATTAAAGTAAACTGACCTATAATCAAACTTAAGGGAAGAACATTATCTGTCGTTTTTTCCAATATTTTAATTTTTTAGCTAGTTATGATGCTTTTTTAAATGTTATATTTTACATACTCATAATATGCTTAAAAATTAAAATATCGGAAAAAAAACCGACTAAAAAACACAGATAATGTTCTTCCCTTAAAGTTTGATTACAGGTCAGTTTACTCTAATATTAAAACCTACTTCACTACATTTGAATCACTGAATACAAATTTGCTTTGTTGTACATATATCAGACGGAGACAACACATGCAGGTGTGACGTCCTTGAACTAACTTGGTCATTAATTAAGTCTCTGGCAAGTGTGAATAACTGTACATTCAAACTACTCGACATTTAAATATTATTGAAAATATAGACTGAATAGATACAGAAATTAGGAAAAATTTATTAGGCACAAAAAAAAGAAGAAAATAATTTTGGGAAGTAGATTTAATTATAGATGATATCTTATGCATTAAAAAATAAAGTATTATTCAGTTTTTTTTTAGGGGGGCCGTAGTTTGGTGACCCTTGATTTAGAAAGTACCTAATAGACTTATTTTTTATTTTTTTAAATTTAATACATAATAACTATGAGCAAAAAGTTATTTTACAACTTTGAGGGGCGAAAATTTTCTTTGGAAAAAATACCCATTTGGGCAATATGTATAAAAATTAATTTTTTTTAATTTTTTTTTTTTAAATGCTTTTAGTCTGGTATTTAACTAAAATATTGTTGACTAAATTTTTTTTGAGTTAGCAGTTTTTCCGGAAAAACTTAGGAAAAGGTGGTCTTTATAGTGACCACCACCAAAATAAAAGGCTTTTTTGAATAAAATGTTATAAAATCCAAAATATACTTAGTAACTTTAATAACAAATTAGGTATATGAGTACCATAAGAAGGATATAAGAAAATATTGTGATATTGTTTGATATATGTATAAGCTGATAATAAGGTGGTTGATATACTGACCACTGTTAAAAAAATAATAAAAATAATTTAAAAGGTGATTAATATAGTAACCACCGCACTTGAAAGGTAAAAAAAAAAGTGGTTAGCATACTAACCACTGACCCTCAAAGAGTTAAAAAGTGCTTTAAGTACCTTCGTTAAATAATGTAAAACGTAACGTTAAATAACCATCAAATTGCATAATATTTGAATAAAAATATTAATATGTGTTTATCACACAAACAAGTAAAGAACAAAAAAATTTTTTTTGTTAAAAAATTGATTCTATGATAGCTAACTGAGATAAATAAAATTATATATAAGATAACGTGTTATAAATTCAGAAAAAATGGAAAGAATACACATACAAGTTAATTATTGTAAATAAATATGAGTACAACAACAAATGTGATAAAACAAGATGTAATAAATATCAATACATTTAAATAATGTGTATATATTTTATACATCAAATATAATTCTTGACATGACATGACAACAATAGTTAAAAGTCAATGTGTGTACAATGTAATATGTAAGTTATTAAAATTACATTTAGTAATAGTTTACATATTATTTAACTATATACTGTATAATTTAACGCTGTACACAACAAACATACAATCATATACTAATAATGAAAGAAAAAAAATGTATTAATATATACTGTAAAATTATAAAACGTAATAAAATTACTTATATATAATCGTTAAAAAAATATATATATATATATATACTATATTATTTATGAATAAAAATGATTATGTGAATATTGATGGGGATAAGATAATAAAATAGTTAAATAAGAAGTAATATGAAGAAAATCAAAATTATTAACTAAATTTAATGATACCAAAACAGCTAAATGCAATGCATTAAAAATGTATATTAATTTTTGATTTTATGGAAATTTTCAATTCTTCAAAAATGTTCATTAACTATTTACTTAATGATTATGTACAACGCTATTATACACACGATTATTTATCTAATTTTATGACTAGGAGAAATTAAGTAAAATACAAATATAAACTTTAAATAATAATTTAATAAAAATTATCAATAAAAAAAATCACCCCCCTAACTTAACATGAAATGCTAAGTAATAACAAAAAAAAAAAACAAAATATTTGACTAAATTTTGCCCTACATAGACAAAATATAACTCCTAATAATTAAGCAAATGCATTTTAAAGAAAAAATTGTATTGATTAGTTTTTGCACAGTTATAATGGAATAAGAACTAACAATCAAATAAAATTGGTTAATGAACATTTAAAGAAATGTAGTTTACAATAGAAAATATAGAAAACTCAAAATTAATACAATAACAATTCCAAAATATTATCACAAATTTTTAGAGAAACTTTTTTCTTTCAATTTATTATAATTTAAACTTATTTTTAAATTTAAAAATATAATATTAATAATAACAGTAATGTAAATAATTATTGTTGGAATAATTCATGTAGAATCAAAAATAAATACATTTTCTCTTTTTCACCATTAATTATACTTTCAAATTATCTTTATCACAATAATGCCTTTGGTTTATAAGAAATAATATTGTACTTTTTACAAGCAAAAATAGTTTTTTCTGAAGGAAAAGAAAAACATTACAAACAAACCGATGTAGACTTGAATATTATACTTGAAATTAAGTCCAAAATGAGAATTCCCTTCACATTTGAGCAATACAAATTACACTGATCAATAGCCTGGTGGCTTAGGAGCTTGGTGTTTTGCAACTGAAATTATATTTTTAAATATTAAATTCTGGACATTTTACTTTGACCAAATTTATTAATTTATTTATTATACTTACCGACTAGTCTGCTATTATAAATTTTATCAACTCTTTGGAAAATTGGAGGTGGTGGAATCCGAACAATTGGCTTAAACATAGTGGAAAATCTCATTTCCATTTCCTCTGTAAAATTAATTTGTACTTTACAGATACAATAATATATTTAAATGAATAGTTGTTAGTTATCTAACCCAATAGTGACATGCTTAGGACAGAAGTTGGACCATTCCTCATGGAAGAATGACGTGTAGGTGGTGTAGGAGGAGCTCCATTAATTACCTAAACAAATATGAAATAAAATTATTTTATTAATATATGGTATTCAGCTTTAAATCAATATCAATGTATACTCACATTATTACAGCTTTTATGAGGGGGAACATTAGGTGGTGGTGGAGGAGGTATACTGCGATGTGGTGGAGGTGGTGGTGGAGCACATGCAGGTGGATTTAATGGAGCTTTTATAGGTGGTGGCGGTGGTCTGGTACTCGGGTGTTTAATGGGTCGTAACGTTCGAGATCCCCATTGAGTATTAGGTAATGTATTTGGAGAACTCCTCAAAATACTATCCTGCGATTGATGGAAAGCAGGCAACTGATTTTTACTACTGATAGTCATATTATTGAATTGGGGTGCTGTGAAAACATTTTTAAAATTGTAAGCATAACATATTATTGATCATAGTCACACACACATACGTTGACTAGTTGGTGCAGCTGGAGGTGTTCTTGGTATCCTCATACTTTGTGCCCGAGATACTTGACTTCGCCCATCAGATGTTGCTGCTAAGTTAGTTGAACTAACTGTTAATGTCGATTTTTTAGTAGGCACAGCTGGCTTAACCAATGGTGGTTTTGGTGCCACATTTGGTTTACCATAACCACCCAGAGGAGGTCCTTTACCAGCAACATTATCAGATACAAGACTTGGAACACTACCCGTTCTGTTGTGACCAACACCAGGTGGTAAGATTGATACAGGTTCAGAAGTACTCTGGAAATTAAAAATGTACAGTAAATATATATTTCAATCAATCAATAGAAAACAAAAAAATAAATAGTGATTTATAAAAATTACTGTAGGAATAGTTGGTTTTTGATTGAATGATGGTGGTTGTGGAGGAGGTCCTCTTGATTTGATATCGTTTTGTATTTTTCTCATCCCATCATTTTTCTTAAAAAGTATCAATATAAAATTAATATTTACAATAATCAAACACTAATATAATTTACTTTTTGTGATGGGAGTGTGTTTATATTAGACGATGAACTGTTTGAATTTGATGAGCTATACAATGAGACTGGTGATAAATTATTATTTGGTGCCGTTTGAGTTTTCAATTGACCTAGAATTATACAGTAACATTACAGATTTATTACAGAATACTAATATAATCATATTTGAGACAAAAAACAACAAATAAAAATATACACATAATATTTCATTTTGTTATAAAAATTATATTATTAAAATAACAAAAATTTTCATAATACAATTATAAGGGAAATTTAGATACATATTAAGATTTTTTTTACATACACCAACTTTCATAAAATAATATATAATAACTTTTTATTTATTTTTCTATAATTTCAATATTTATTATTTTAACTTTAAATAACTTTAAAGTATCAAATAGATACATCATAACAATTAATATACATTTTTAATTGTTATTTCAAATTAAATTATAGTATATAGTTATAAATTACATTCAAAATATTGCAGTTTTACTTAAAATATAAAAGGAAAATATATACTATTAATTGAGACTTTTAATTTATCAGCTCTTAAATATAAATTTTTCCTCATATTAACATCCTTTAAGGTATTAGTAATATAATAAAGTTTTCTATAATCAATACTTTAAGGATCTGACTGCTACAAGCAATCCTCACAAACACACCTTTTGTTTTATGTTTATTTTTATTATTATTTTTAAATTATCAACAGAAAATTTCAACAAATGTGTTAATTTAAGTCAATCAACAAACAATAAACTGTCCATAACTTCTTTATTTTTATCAATTGCATACAAATGGAGAAATTAAATAAAAAATAATATCTAGTACATGGTTAATGGACATATAAAGATGCTAACATTCCATTTTAAGGTCTTGCTAAAATAATTGGGTCATCTGAGCAAGGTCATTATAAAAGTGTTTTCAACTTCTATCAAACCTATAACCACTCAAATTTTGTTAACATATATTTATCATATATTCCTTTAGAAACATTTATCATTTTTAGGAAACAAAAGTTATTATACATATAATAATTAGTGACAATAAATGAGCAATGACTGTTACTACACACAAATAATTCTAAATCAAATAAAACTATTAGCAAGTGAAACAAAGAAACATGTAAAGCATATATAATTATACTAGAACCACAAATTTAATGAATAATTTATTTACTGCAAAAAAAAAGCTTGGGATAACATTTAATAAATTTTTATAATTTAATAGTACAACAAATATTGAAACTAATGATAATCCTTGTAAATTCCATGTAAATTAAAATTTTAATTATCTACACACACCATAAAAATCATTTAGTATGCCAATATTAATTGTTATTTTTCCAATTATTTTTTTTCTATTAATCAATGCATGATTTGCATTTATTTGTATAGGAATACTCAAAAATAATAATAGCCTATAAATATAAACTATTATTTAGTTATGTAATAAAATTATTATCACTAAAAAATTTAGAACAATTATTTTTGTGATTAAATTATGACATTACAATTATCAAATGGTATTATTAATTGCAATTTTAAATTAAATTACAGCAGGAATATTGTACTTAAATTTATTTAAAAAAGATAATAAACATTGTTTACTTCCTAAGAAAGTCAGTGAACATTATAATGAATCATTTCTTTTTAACCAATTGTTCTGTTATGAAATAAAAACAATAAATATATAACATGCCAATTGTTTCTAACTAGCTAAATTGTAAAAGGAACTCAAGTAACGAGATTTATAGTTAAAAAACAGAATTTTTTAAATTACAAGAAAAATAAATTGTTACTATTTATTATTGATATCACATTTGAGTCAAAAAAAGTAAATGTATTACATAATAAATAAAATAATTAATATTAGAGTAAATTGACTAATTATTAAATTCAAATTGTAAGTGGATATAAAATAAATTTGTCATTGATTTTTAAATTGACAGAGAAATATTCTAAATAAATAATGTTTTAGGCTGTACAAACAATAAACAAAGATAACATGTCCCTTCTTTAAAAGAATATGAAATGTATGATTATTATATCGACACCTCAGTTCAAGACTGCAATAACTCTAATTATGAAACTACTGGTTCTAGAATGAAATAAACGACCTCTAGAGGTGAATAATGCAAATAATATCACGTATATAATACAATTCTGAATATTTTTGAGTTATTGCTATCTTTAACTGAGGCGTCAATATCTCAATTATAGTTTTTTTTTGAGTTATTGCAGTCTTGAACTGAGACGACGATATATCAATGTTAGGACTAAGAGAGAAATAGTATAAAGATATTATTATTATAACCAATAAACATTTTATAATCAAGAATAATATTAAAAATTACATAAAACAATTTTAATTTTACTTTTAGTATTCTAAATTAAAACGTAGTAAAATCTACTAAATACTTAAAAATAATATTCATTTAAATATTAATGTAATTTCAATATAGTTTTAATGTTTATATAGATTTATATTACAGTTGAACTTGGTAAACTCGAACCGTTAAGTTGAACAAACCGGAGAAAAGTTATCCAAATTTTATATAACATGTAATACAAATTATTTACTATTTATATATTATGTATAATTTTAAAGAGGTATGTAAAAAACAAAAATTAGATTAGAAAATTTAAAAAAAGTAGGTATTTATTTTTGTTTGAGTATTAATGTTGATCACAGCATTTGCAGTGAATCATATTATATCAGTGAATCTATTATATTTAAAGCTTTGAAAAGTTCATCACTGACCTCTGGTTTGTTTTCGATAAATCACCTAAATTCATTATAATGCATCTGTACATACATATACAAATACATAGGTACATGAGAGAATATCACAATTTTATAATATTATTAAAATTTGAACTAAGAGTTATTCATAAAAATAATCTAGTTAAACAAGATTCATTATTTAAATAGGAAATTCTAGAAACCGAAGGCAAAGTTTGAGGTATCGACAATTTCAAGTTAAATAAGTTCGAGTTAACCAAGCTTGAATTTATATCGAAATGGACAGAGAAATAGTTTAAACATGTAGCAAGATAAAAAGATTAAGCTACAGTACATTTTTAAGACATCTACCTGTAAGAATTTTTACTATATTTATTTATGTTTGTGTTTAATTATATTTTGTTCATTTTCAAATGTAATTATATAGTCTTGTGACCAAACAAATAAATGGCTTTATTTATTATTCAATATTCTGATATGTATTCAGCAGTTACTTTGTTTGCTTCCTAATGTTATCAAAATATAATCATACCTGTTATAGCCATTCCAGTAGGTTTAAGTTTAGGCATGCCTCCAGCAAACAACTCTGCTAAGCCATTAGGTGTCCGTGCAGCTATAGAACTCATTTCTCCGTTTTTCACGGTACCATTACATTTTACAGGCGTTTTTGGTGAATCTATATTATTACAAATCATACTTGTACGTTACACATAAGCAACTAAACAAAGTACTACACAGGCATGATTTCTTATATCAAGTGTTGTGCAAAGTTTTATTGAAACGAAAATCAAAACAACTACAAATATCAAATCACAATAACACATATGGTGAGGATACATGGAAAAAAATGGTGAACATGAAGATACATGATGACCAGTACTTACTGTTGATGAGAGGCTTGCTTTTGTCAACAGTCACGGTCTTCTTAAGAGGCTTGCCCATTCGAATGGATTGCAGCAGCTGGTCCCTAGCCTGGCCCGGATTGGCCTTCTTGGCTCCACTGCCAAAGGCCGGTAATACCGGTGGTGGTGGTGGCGGTGCACCCGACAGTGGTGGTGGTGGTGGTGGTGGTGGTGGCGGGAAAGGCATATCGAACCGGTTCAGCAATGATCTGCACGCATCCAGAAAAACAACAAAACAACCAGTGAATGTGAGCGGTCAACGGGATGGTCCGGGGCAAGGGGGTTGGGTGTCCAATGTGGGTGGCTGGAAGAAAAGGACCGCCGAACGGGACTGGACGCAACGGAAGTGGACGAGCACAGTGCGCGTCGTCGAGCCCGATAGATGGGGGTGCGATACGGTGACTCAGATAACGAGTGGGAACGACCGAGCCGAAACAAGGCGGTGATGACGACGACGTCGAGGCCGATGACGAAACACGTCGGAACGTCGCAACAGGCGCGCGCGAATCGAACCGATGACGACGGTCACGGAACTCACCTCAGGAATAGCGATACGGACGACTGTGGCCGCTACAGGCCGATCACCGACGTTGTCTGGCCCTAGTCGTAGTCCTCATACCGTTCAACGGACGGTCGCAGCGAGTTCACCGTCGACGACGTACACCGCACAGACATCCGAAACCATAGTGATCGGCGGACGCGATGGTACGCGAGCGTGTTGGACCGTTGGATTTCCGTGAACGACGCGCCGAACAGAAGACGAAGACAGCACGGGACGAAAGATCCGGGAACGAACAACGGACAGCGCACTTAATATTTTTTCGTCGTTGTCGCGCGACAGATGATAGTTCACTATAATTATTTGTTTATTATTTCCGGATAGCCGATCTCCACGAACCACCGCAACAACTGTAATCACTGGTTATTACTACTACTGCTACTACTACTACTATTATAACTAACGCTTAACTATAACTAATTAATAAAAACAACGTATAATATTATTATTTAAATATATAATAATAACAATAATAAATCACATATACATAATGGTATATATATATATTATGTGTATATACAAGTGTTTGTGTGAATGCACACACATGCGCACACATACGGCGTATACGTGCGTGCGTGTGAGAAATCACACAGATGATAAAAAGCGCATAGGCGCGCGCGCACTTCGTCACACGTAGTACGACCGACAGCCGTCCGGGTGGGAAAGGTAGGGTAGGGGATATAAAGGAGAGGGCAACATGGCGACGGCACAAGGCCGCGGCGACGGCCGTATCGTCATCGTCTTCGCCGCCGCCCGACGGTATCTCTCTCTGCGTGGGGGACATACCGTGGGACATACCGTTCATTGCCGTGTGACGTGTGTACGGGTGCGTTTACGGTATTCACTCGACACGACCCGGCGCGGTGACGATGATAATAATAATAACGCCGTTGCCGCGCCGATGATTGTTTAAAATTAATCAGCTCTCCGGGGGCGGATAGCGAAAAAAAATAATATTAATAAGCGCTCGTTTATTAATAAATATTGTGTATTTATATCGGTGCCCACCGCTGTGACGACGGTGTAGAACACGACAACTTGCAACTTACAGCACAAGATTCCCACGGATAACGGATATTACTGATTTTCATCGAAACGATAGCGGAACAATACATAAATTAACCGTTTTAATGTTCCAATTAATTATCCGTTGCTATTTTATGTGTGTATTATAATAATTATTATTATTACTACAAGGGTCAGTGGCGTAGTACGTAGAGATAGAGTTCTAATGGGTACAGCGCCGAGGGATGTAGATAGTTGCGCCCGATAGATAAGTTAGGTACTGGCTTGTCCGATGTATAGCACATTTCGCATAAAACGTTGCCATTTCATGTTATAGATTTTTTCAAACTTCCAGCAAATTTAAATCTTTAATAGTATTCGGTTCACAGTTGTGGATGTCTTTAATATTGATTAATGTTGATTTTGAATTTTTTTTAACTGAAGTGTAATACTGCAAAATGATTAATAGTTACAAGCTTCAGTATAACGTTCACTGGGAGAAGTGAGAATTGTCATGTACTGCAATTAAAATAAAATGGACCAATATTCGAAAATATCGTTACGGATGTATCCAGTGGTGTATTGGAAGGTATACGGGGGTATACGGCGTATAACCAATACGCTATTTTTATCCATAGCGTATGAGAAATTGATGATAGCGAGTGTACGGTCACATACAGCATATAGCTTGTAATTTGAAAAATAACTACATAATACCTTGACTAACCTAACTTGTGGTTATATTTATGACGTGTGGTATCGGATATATTATTATTATATTTCTTTTTCTTTTCTTAATGAAAAATTCAAATTTGTTATCATTTAACAACAAGTTTCTGTTATCTAACAGTCATAATTAAGGATGTATAGTTCATGGATAAGTTTTTTTGATTCCTGTTATATGATAGTTACTACATAAAATAAGGCGTATACCCATGATTTATTTTATCAATACAACACTGGATTTAATGTAAAAACTAAGAATAGTTAAATTGGTAAACAAAATTACACGAATGCATAATCATAAAATAATATAGTTTAGCAACGTTGCACGGTTTTTATTAAAAATATTTCGGGCGCGTATGAGTTATGATCACGAACGAAAATGGACTATAAAAAGGGGTAATGGGCGCATGTAGTCGGCTCCGGTTCTAACCACAGATGTTCCAGGTACCCGGCTACTACTCGATACCCGTCGTACTCGATGTCATAATTTAGACTCGACCGTTACCCAGTACCCGGCGTAACACTGCATTTTTACTCGGCCCTTACCCGGTACTCGGTCTAATACTTAATTTTTTACCCGACTTATTAATACATTTTTACTCGAACCCCCTACTCAGTAACCGGCTGATAATTTATACATAAAAATATGCACACCTATTAATATAACAATAAAAATCCCAAGTTATGAGTTTAATTTATTTTGGTACATTTAGGATTAATAAACAAATTTACATTAGCTGGTTAAACTGCGTCCACAACTAACAAACAATTAAAAACATTTATTGAATATTATATTATTATTATAAAGTTAAAATATCAATATATATGACAGATTATTTAAACAGTATATTATTTTTAACATAAATTATGTAGTATTCCAGACTATGAGAAGATAATGCGAAAATATCGCATTTATAAATAATTATTTTTATCCTATGTAATGTTTTTTGTTGAAATAATATTAAATTTACTGATCTATATAAATTAAAAATTTTCGGCCCAATTAAATTAAATCAAAATTCAAAATCAATATTTAACAATCTGGTAAAATTACTAAATAAATTACTAAATTACTAAATCATTGTTGCACCTAACACGTCAAATATAAATATTTATTTTTCATTTTTACATGGTTAAAACGGAAAAAAATAACTCAAAAAGTTACTAATATTCTAAA